TGATATGCAGAGTATGAAACAATCTCCATGGCATATCGTCAGAGTGTTCGTCAGGTCCGGTTCCAGTAATGTCCTGCGTAATCCAAGATTTTGTGGCCTTTCACGAGTCGTCTTACCGTCTGACGTCATAGATGGGAGCACCCAGTGTGCTGGGTACTGGTGCTGGTCAATTGCTGGTTGCCCAACTTGATCCTTTCTGGAGTCTTGATTTAACTACTCAAGGGCGTAGCCAGGTCTTTACCACGATGTGGATCTGAGGGGGTACGTTTTTTGCGACGAATCCTTCTCTCCCTCTTCCTACTAGTTGATTCGGAGACGATGTTAAAACCGAAATCAGAAATGAAAGTAGGGATGGAAAACCAGGCGATTGCTGAGAAACGCCGTAGAAACCAGAGCTGTCTACTCCCTCCGAAGGTAGGAAAATAGTTACAGAGCCAATAGGAAGAAATCCGCCTTCCATAAACAAAGTTTATAGAGTGAACTGCACTTGAAGAGCTTTCACAGTGTTCCAGAAAAAATCTGTTCGATTTCGTTCAATCACACGGATGAGAAAGATGAAATCTTCAGACAGCAGCCAATGCTATACGCGATTTCTAAAATATTCGTGGAAAACGTGTGTGAGGCACTAATTGGCAGACTGTAATCAGAGTAATGAATGGAGAAGAGTTATACAAATGGAGAAAAACACAGAACATATCCAGATTTGATGTTGAAGAAGTGATCCTGAAATTAGAGTTCTTCTTGCTTTCCGTCCCAGTTAATACACGCTAGGTAGTATAGGAAAGGTATTTTCATGACTTCATATGTCAGTGAAATCTGCGGACAAGTAATACCAACTGAAAAGAAACAATGGCTCGTTTTGATTTTATCTTCCACCGCACACCTAGGTTAAAATTGTTTCAGACCACGACACCACCACAATTTTGAAGAAGTTCTAACCATTAAAATATGGACTTATACTACACATGTTATAGAGAAGTTAAGCAATGTGAAATGATTATTGGCTCTAGTTTACCACAAGCTTTATGGCACTGGAATGGGATAGTTTCAAAATGTCTGGAAAATGTATAGACGAATTCCAATCCCAGATTTACCAAAAAAAAAACCGAGATCGAAGAAGGCAAAAGCGTAGGAAAGTGACCCTTATATCATCATTTTTGGTGTTCCTGATGTGGAGATACAACAGTGAAGATCACACCCGTACAGCTGTGAAACATGTTTTCAGCACAAGCGCTCACATTCTGGTGAGCGGCCTTATGGGTGTGCGTATTGTCCAATGGCGTTTTCGGCGTCGTCAATCTTACGGACTCACATAAGACAGCACAGCGGCGAAAAACCACTCAAGGTTAGGATACAGAGCCGTTTTCAACGTTTTTGAAACAAATTGAGTTGGAGGGTTCAATTACAGTGCGCCCACTGTGGGAAATCGTTCGCTTCCCACAGTGCTCTTGCCAGCCACGTTCGACGCATACATGATGGGCAGAAGTACTGACCTACTGAAAGACGTCACCAAAATGCAGAAGATTTCTACCTCTTCCACCCTATTTTGCGCTTTTGTTATTCGTTATGTCGAAGATAAATGAATTGCATTAAAAAACGGAGATGAATATAAATTTATACTTTCTTGATAAGCAGACAAGAAATTGCTAATGTAATGCTCATTTCACAGTGGCGTCCGTTTTTCACGGATATCGGCTTCTAAACTGGGTTGCCAACCTCGTATCTGCTTATAAAGAGCACATAAGGCTGTTGGTTATTGTCAAGGTTAATGGCAATTTCGTCCTAAGAACTACTGTGCAATGTACCAGCTAGATCAGGAAACATTTCACAATGTTCAACTAAAGTTGGGACTGTTATTCCGCTTTGACCAGTATGCATGAATGTATATACGTCGTTAACAGGACAAACAACTGCCTGGGATGTCTAATCACTGCAGAGGTTTTCATAACAAAGGCGTGAATGAAGGAGCTAGTGAGCTTTGGTCAACATTAGTCTCAACACCTTAGCCATACACCGTGGAAAAATTGAAGAAAGCTTACTGATTTCTCTAAATTACCGATTTATTATTGTCTTCTACAATACGTCCCAACGAGGAACTTCACGGTAACTTGTTGAACACGTCGATAAGTCAGTATTATTCATATGGATTGAGCCTATAGAATTCAAGGTTAATCTAGGTTATTCTTCTCTCTAAACGCCTCTACTTAGAGCCCGTCAGCAAAGGTAAGGGTTTTCAACGATGAGCGATAATTTCTTGAAAATGATTCAGCTTCACGTTGCCGATCGACTAAAGGGAAACCGAGACAGGCGAGTGGAGGTAATCACGTTTTATTTATTTGCTTTCTTTTTTCATGGCAAGGTATGGTGTCGAAGATAAGCCCAATGATGTTGAGATATTTGCAAAGCTCCGGAACCCGGAAAGGGTAGTAGCGTGTTCGCTCCACACCGCAAACACCTGCGGTCCGGAGTTTTCCAGATATTTCAGAGACGAAAAATTTAACGTATTTGAAGAAATCAGAAGTTCTCTTAGAGGTGTGAATTGGTGTTTGTTTTTCGAGGCGTTTGGAAACTCCACCCAACCTTGCCTCCTCATCATGGCTGGGAGGTGTTCCTGGGTGTCGAACTGCGATGTACAACGGGGATTCGTCACCCTTTGCGCGTTTTGCGCGTCGTCACAGTCTCCCAAGCCGAGAGGGAGTCCGCCGCTTCCATCAAAAAGCCTAGCTATGAGTGAACCGATTCCAGGATACGTCACCGTTCTGGTATCGAACTAGTCGCATGGTGGAAACTCTCCTGATCCACAAGGGCGGCGATGATCTGTGGTGGTGACGACCTGGTGCGGACATTGGCAGGCTGACCTTGGGACACCAGGAAACTACAATGGCTAAACTGGCAAAACTCCGAAAAATGAGATTATGCTGGGGCCCGCACATCCAGTGAGGAGAAGGCATCGAACTGCTCAAGAAGGTACGTTAAGGAAAGCAAAGATTTACACCTTTCTCTAGTTCCACTAATTTTATCTAGAATATTATTTTTCCATTAACATGCAGGGTTTGTTCGTCTTGGATCGGTTATTTTATCAGCCAAATCTCGCCATGTCGACACTTTCCAACTACGATAAAGCAGCAAACCTTTGGAACCATTATAAAATTAGGAGTCACATATCGTCCACGCCACATGATTTTCGCTTAACCATGTTGAATCATATTAATAGCTATAACTTTAATAGTCGTGCGGGCCCCAGCATAAATTCCATTATTTCGGAGTTTCGCCGGTTTAGCTGTCGTGGTTTTTAGTGTTACACACTGCCCCACGGAGGCTCTTGCTTTGCATTTCTCTCAGCTAGTTTACAGATACAAATATTATATTTATCTAAATCTATTACACTCATATTATGTGACAAATATTTATACCATAAAGTTTACAGTTCTTTTCTGTATTTGTAGGTGATATTGTAGAACCTAGCTATCCATACTGTAAAATAGACACACCTACTTGGATACTTGGATGGCCCAGCTTCACTGGTTGTGCGAGCTCCAACATAACTTCCATTTTTCTCAGAGTTTTGCTGGTTTAGCCACTGTGGTACCCTGTAGTCCCGAGGTCAGACAGGCCAAAGTCTGCTCCAGCTTGTCACCACCACATAGTTGCCTCCCTTGTGGATCAGAGATTTGCCACCATGCAACTATGATACCAGGACGGTGGCGGATCCTGGTGTTGGTATTGGTTTACTCTTAGCTGGGCTTCCTGGTGGAAACGCGGACTCCTCAGCTTGGGAGGCCATGCCGAGAGGATGAACTCCTGCTGTACATCACAGTTCGGCACCCAGGAACCCCTTCCAGTCCCAATGAGGTAGGCGGTAAAACGTTAGAAGGAGACAAAAATAAATATGGTGAATATAATCTTAACTCTTTTATTTACTGCCTTTTTTCTTCTTAATGGCAGATTATATTGCGAAATATAACTCGTATGAAATGCTGAGATATTTGCAAAACTCCGGACCACAGGTGTATGCAGTGGAGAGTTAGATAAAAGAGTTAAGATTGTGATTATAACTAAGCCTCAGCTTAACTGGGTTCAATGCCGATATTGGCTTCCCAGATCAACCCCGTTGACGGGTGATTGCTGATGGCAAAAAAGATCGATAGAAGTGGCTGAGATACACGCAAAGATACGCTGAGATACGTGCCATCAGCAATCACCCGTAGATAAAACCAGCTGAGAGACCGGCAGAACGAAGGACCCGGATGGTGTAGTGGTGAAGTGCGCTGCTCCCCGGTAAGGACAACAGCGGGTGTTCGTTCTCCACTGCATACACCTGTGGTCCGGAGTTTTGCAAATATCCCAGCATTTCATATGGTGAATATATTTAAAAAGTTGCCAGTGCCTATTAATATTTGTTTAAAACGGTTGCATATTCTTTACATAACAATAAAAGGTGAATCTATTCTAAAATCTGGAATGTTCTACTTTTAATAGAAAACTAATCGTTTAAGTGGCGCATCGATGCTCCTACATTTTGGTGTCTCTGGTCTCATGAAGGTATGTCTAATACGACTATGTGCTGCTGTACTTTGTACGTTGAACCTAACTGCACTGCAGTGGAGTGTCGTGTTGTTCTTTAGTGGTTAACATGAGCTTAAAAAACTTTGACAAATTAATTCCAGCGACTGACTTTCTGTTAACCTCGGCACTGATCAAATATTTTTCTATATACTTACTAAGCAAACAACTTGTTACTTTATTCTTTCTTACGGCAAAGATGACATTTCGGAGGATTTCTCCTTCTTTATAGCTTGGAAGGGTCAAGTTGACTGCATTCTACAAAGCCAGAAACCTCTATAACCAAGCAAAGAAAGTGGTAAACCAAGATTTTGATCGCATTGAAAACAAAATAACTTCTTCGCACACTCACTGCTTTCATTAACGGTAGCCAGTCTAGGTTTATTTCGGTAAGCTTTTGTCCATTTCCTCTTTTTCCTCTTGTGTTAGATAACAAATCAATCATTTATACACCTGCAGTAAAGTAACGACCGGAGATCGTTTTCTGGTGCTTCCACCTTAGACATAAATGTAGTGACAATGAATCGTGCCAGCCACTGTCCCATTGCCAAACCTTCCATTTGTGCGCACTGTTTTCCGCACCATCTGAAGATTGAGCAGGGATCGTCAACTGTTGAATCGAGAAAATATACGTTTACTGCTCCTTTGTGTTGTATAAGGTGTTCGAGGATGGCTTGCAGAGTGGAATTATTCGGCACGTTTGTATAGAGAGCCATGACGTCAAAGGACTTCATCACGTACGCTGTTAGGACGCGTGTTACGTCGACACGCAGACAGACACGTAGACACGCCAGGTCACGCATGATAGTGAGGCATTCGTCCTTCCGGTTCATCTTTGGATTTTTGAAATTTATCCAAAACGCCTCAAGAGTTTTGCGCGTTGATGTTTTTGATTCCTGCGCTAGGATCCGCACATTCACTTCAAAATCATCGCCGTTGTGCTTTTGTGCCCTATGCGTACCTAGAGGAGTGTTTAGACGGGTTCTAACTTTTCCATCTAGATGTTCTTTTATGCGGACACAAAGTGGTCTACCCGTTTCCCCAATATATTCCTCGTCGCATTCGTTACATGAGATCAAGTATATTATACCTAAACTCATGCAATCTCTGTCTCTCCCGTTAGGACAGATCATACAGTTTTCTGAGCTGCACAAACGATCATAGAGACGGTTTCGAACTAACTGGCGGCGTAGAGTATTGGGTGGGATGTCAATAATCGTTACATAATTTTCAAGACCACTTTTTCTTAAGCACTTTTTAATGGCGTGACTTACTTCATTTGATATGAAGGGCAGCTTAAAGGGGATCTTACTCTCGTCTGAAATATTATTTTGGGAAACTACCCAACGTTTTCCTCTAACCCGAGTGGCTTCTACTTCGTAGCCATTGGAAATGGCTAATTTCCATCCTTGCCTTGCCTTGCCATCGCTTTCATGTCTAAGGTGGAAGCTCCAGTTCTCGATCACCGACCCTTACTCTACTGTCGATACATAGACGACTGCTTCATTCTCTGTTCCACACAAGAACAGATGGATGAATGCTTTGAATTATTAAACCGACAGTCAAAGTATATAAAATTTACACGAGAAAAATCTACCGAGAACTGGCTTCCATTCTTAAACATCCAAGTAAAGCTCTCAGTAAGTGGCTATTTAACAAAATGGTATCGCAAGCCAAGTAGTAAAAACATTCTAGTCCACTGCCTCTCCTCTCATCCTTCACACATGAAAAAAGCACTTATCAAAAATATGTATCGTACGGCTAAAAATGTGTGCACAGGAGAAGAGGAAAGGAAGGAATCGCGAAGCCTGGCACGGAAAATTGCCATTTACAATGGCTACGAAGTAGAAGCCACTCGGGTTAGAGGAAAACACTGGGTAGTTTCCCAAAATAATATTTCAGACGAGAGTAAGATCCCCTTTAAGCTGCCCTTCATATCAAATGAAGTAAGTCACGCCATTAAAAAGTGCTTAAGAAAAAGTGGTCTTGAAAATTATGTAACGATTGTTGACATCCCACCCAATGCCCTACGCCGCCAGTTAGTTCGAAACCGTCTCTATGATCGTTTGTGCAGCTCAGAAAACTGTAAGATCTGTCCCAACGGGAGAGACGGGGATTGCAGGAGTTTAGGTATAATATACTTGATCTCACGTAATGCATGCGGCGAGGAATATATCGGGGAAACGGGTAGACCACTTTGTGTCCGCATAAAAGAACATCTAGATGGGAAAGCTAAAATCCGTTTAAACACCCCTCTAGGTACGCATAGGGCACAAAAGCACAACGGCGATGATTTTGAAGTGAATGTGCGGATCCTAGCGCAGGAATCAAAAACATCAACGCGCAAAACTCTTGAGGCGTTTTGGATAAATTTCAAAAATCCAAAGATGAACCGGAAAGACGAATGCCTCACTATCATGCGTGACTTGACGCCCTATTTCAAAATGATATTTTGACCCCGGCGCGCGTCTTGCTCGCGGCTCCACGTGAACTAGGTGTAGGCCAGTCCTGCACGTAACATCACGGTGAGTGGCCTTTCTGTTCAATATGGCGTCTATTTGAAGGTTTGATTTTCATTAATACTTTAACCTTCTTTTCCACCGAATAATAAAAAGTATTCTAACATAAAGTACGTCCAGGCTCTGAGGAAGGCGAAGTCGCCGAAACGTCAGCCATCGATCAATAATATCAAAAACAACGACAACGACAACGAAGATCTGTGCCAACCTCGCGTCAGCTTAAGAAGATCAGTTTATAAGATCACATAAATAAATATAACAACTATCTATGCTGAAGTTTATAGAAAGTCGGTCTTTCGCTGCCTTTTTCTTTTTAATGGCAGCGCATGTGGTTAAAGGGTATAAAAGGATTAAGATTGTGATTATAACTAAGCCTCAGCTTAACTGGGTTCAATGCCGATTTGGGCTCCCCAGATCAATCCCGTTGACGGGTGATTGCTGATGGCAAAAAGATCGATAGAACTAGCTGAGAGACAGGGAAAACGAAGGACCCGGTTGGTGTGGTGGTGAAGTGCGTTGCTCACCGGTTAGGACAACAGCGCGTGTTCGTTCTCCAGTGCATACACCTGCCGTCCGGAGTTTTGCAAATACCTCAGCATTATATAAGAGTTATATTTCGCAACATACCCTGCCATTAAAAAGAAAAAGGCAGTAAATAAAAGGGTTAAGATTGTGATTACTACATACTCTCTTCCCTTACCATCCCTTACCACTAACGGATAGTCTACGTTTTTTAACCTTGTTCGCTCTCATACCTCCTGCATATCACATTATTGTACTTCTGCGAAGTTCAAATGAAATCTGTTCGTACCACAATGATTAAGAACTTTAGAAGTTTCTTCTTGGATTGTGGAGATAACATGAGATTGATGAAGAAATTTACCCAGCTAAAGTTTCGACGTCTATCGGAATAACTTCGGTTTGAAAATTACTGTTTTGAAGGCATCGTGTGTAAATATCCGGAATTTGATATGAACTTTATTTTTGGGGCCTTGCACTAGTAAGAACGGTTCAGGAAACAGTCATAGCAGTAATGTTTCTACCTTTTATTGTTCACTCCTATTCAATGCATCGACTGTAGCTTTGCTGCATGGTCTATCTTGATGTTCGTGTAAGCTATAAGCAACCCTACGTAAGAATACCTTAGAAATGGGTTCAGATGGTGAACAACTTGAGCCCAATTCTAATCGCGAGAGTGGCGAACATGTGGTCTTGCCCAAGTCGTAGATAGGCGCGTATATTCGCATTTCGATGTCAAGTACTCGGTGCCTATCCTCTGATAGTCTGCAAACATCGTGAAAGCGTCTTCGTTTCAGGATGTTTGGAACTACATGGTGTTGTAGGCAGTAGCGGAGAAAGTGTATTGCCTCCCGAGCTGTGAGAATCTTTTGAATTGTGGCAGTACTTCCTTTTAAGGTCAGAAGTATGCCGCTGACACGTCTTGTAGCAATTCCCACGACCGACTTTCTATTAACGTCGGCGGTCATCAAATACTTCTCTATAAACTAGTCACTTTTTAATCACTGCCCGCCCTTTTTTAATGTCACAGTATTATGTGGAATATAATCATAATGATGTTGAAATATTTGCAGAATTCCAGATCGCAGGTGTCTGCGGTAGGGAAAGAACGCGCTATTATCCTTTCCGGGGGCCACCGCGTTCATCACCACACCATACGAGCCCTTTGTTTCGCCTTTCTCTCACCCATGTTGTTGGCCTATAGGAGCTCCCAGCAATCACTCGTCAACGGGATTGATCCGGGAGCACAAAGCGTCATCAATACAATCAATCGGCACAAATGGGCAGCAGTCAGTGCAGTCAATCGGAACAAATCGGTGTCAATGCCGATCTGTGCTACCCCGATCAACCCTGCTGACAGGTGATTGCTGATAGCTTTTGTAGATCAGAACATGGTCGTGAGAAATGCGAAACGAAGAACTTGCATGGTGTGGTGGTGAACGCGTTATCCACTCGAAAGAGAAATAGCCTGTTCGTTCCCCACCGCAGACATCAGCAGTCCGGAGTTTTCCAGATATCTTAGCACCATCATGGTTATACTTCTTCACAATTTTGTTGAACAAACTCGAGATGTCACTCTACTCTTCAATACTGTAGAGCTGACGTTTCAGCGTATTTCGCCTTTTTCGGAGCCTGGTAAGGTCATGTTGACCGCTTTAATCTATCTAGCCAAGCACCGCCATAACCAAACAGAGAACACTCAGCCATGATTTTAATGGCATTGAAGACAAAATAGCCTCTTCACACACTGGTACATAGTATAGTAATTTCTAGGACCAAATTTAACTTCGCTTGATATAAACCGATAGACTTATGCGCTCTTGATAAGCAGACACGAGGTTGCCACTCTGGAATATATAACGCAAAATCCATGAAAAACGTTCAATGTGGAATGCACAATGCATTAGTAATCTCGTGTCTGCTTGTCAAGTTATAAATTTGCAATCGTCTCCGTTTTTATTGCAGCTCATTTATCCTCGATACAATAAATAAAAACAACGCGAATCAATGTGAAAGCCGTCCGCAAGTGGTGAGATCTCGCACTACGTTAGTCTTTCCTCACAACATGTTTGAGCCGAATGTGTCCATAAAGTGCACCATGGGAAGCAAATGGCCGGTCACAGTACATACACTGTAATTAAACGTAGGTTGAGTTGTATTATAAACAGTGGAAAGGATGTTGCATTGTAACCTTAAAAGGCTTCTCGCCAGTATGTCTCCTCAGATGATTGCACAGTACTGATGAATCTGTGAAAGCCTTTGTACAATATGAACACTTATAAGGCCGCTCGCCCGAGTGTGAGCGCTTATGCTGAAAACATG